CTTTAGTTTAATATTCTTTATTTTAATGGGAATTTAGCCCTAAAGTCGTATTTTTAGAACAAGTTGAGTAAAGATATAATGAGAAAGCTGGATGTCTATCTATGGACATAATTAAAGTTCAAATTCTAGAGAAGACAAATGTTGATAGAGTTTCATAGGGTGTGCACGACAACCTTCTCGGAATTAATTCTTTTTTAATTTCTGTTCCCGGGAACAGAAATGAATAGGAAACTCATTTTGTAAAATCGATTTATTTTTTTGTTGTCGGGATGATCCGGTTTAATTTTTGTGCTGGGGAACAGAAAAAAGAATCAGAAAATTTCTGCTTTTTTGTTTCCGGGCACAAAATGAGAAACACTTATCTTTTTTAATCACTCTCCACCTCTACCATCATCACCACCATCATCCCGACACGACTGTCGCCACCATCGTTGTCGTCGTCGTCGTACCACTAGTGCTGTCGTCACCACCCCTCACCACCACGATGCTACTGCCACCATCGCCATCACACGCCACTGCCACCACCCCCATCGCCACCACTACCACCACCACTAATGTCACCAACCACCGCTACCATTGTCGCAGCCACTACCGTCACCATCGCCACCACCAACCACCATCATCATCGTCACAGTCATTACCGTCTCCGCCACCACCATCGCCACCATTACACCACCCCCGCCACTACCATCACCACGTCATCGCCACCACCCCCACTGTCACCTACCACCCCCGCCGCAGCCGCCGCCACCACCATGATGCCTTCACAACCACCACCACCACCATGTCACTGCTACCATTGTTGCCGCCACCAACCACCATTGTCACAGCCACTGCCGTCACCTCAACCACCACCATCCACACCACTACCACCGCCACCACCACCATTACTACCGCATCGTCGCAGCCACTGTCGTCACAAGCACCACCACTATCTTCACCATGTCACTGCCACCACCACCACCATGCCACCCGCCGCCACCACCACCACAACCACACCATATGGAAAGGAAAGTGATGATCCAAATTTTTTTTATATTTAATAGGATTATTTTTTATTATATTATTTGTTGTGTTATCAAACACAATTCTCATTCTCGGAATAAAAATAGAACATGTTATCAAACACAATTTTTTTCTCAGAAACTGTTCCAATGCATAAAAATAGAAAAGAATTGTTTTTATTTTCAAAAACAGAGGTAGGGAATAGAATGATTGTCATGCACATCCTTAGTTGCCACCACATCCAAGGAACTAAATTCACAATAATACTTGTAGAAATAGTATTTAAAAAAGGATTTAAAGTTTCTAAAGTTACTTTAGATAACTTTATTCAATATTCATCAAAATACATATATAAAAGTGTGGGATCCATATTTTTTTTTCTCTCTTCTCTTCACATGGATTCACATGGGCCCAACACACTTTTTTTGTATGTATTTTCGTGAAAATTAAATAAAATTATCTAAAATAACTTTAGAAATTTTAAATCCTTTAAAAAAAGCCGTTAAGTAAATTTAATTTAACTCTACACAAACGAATCCAAGAATACTCTCGTCACACTAAAAATAAAATAAAATAACTAAAACCTATGTCAATTTGTAACCCTGATATTGTTTATGGGAAATAATACTCTCATGTCACATGAGATACTCTCATTTTCCTATACAATTCGTTTTCCGTGCCAAATAATTTTTCTTTTTTCTTTTTAATATAAAATATGAGACCCATATTTAATTTCTCTCTACTTTTTTCTCTCCTACAATCCTACAACATAAGAAAAGTTAAACCTATTGTTTATTCATTACTTTGTATTTACAATTAATAAAAACCTGTTAAAGACTCAAGAATAGTGAAACTGAAGCCGTAGAAAAATAGTATATTAAAAGAAAGAAATCATTAAAGTCATATAAAGGGCAAAAAAAATTAATTTATTGCTTTTTTAATACAAAATTACAAATAAGTAGTCGTTTTGAAATTAATTACGAAAATATAGCAGTCAAACACGCCCCGTAAGGGCGTGACCAGTTGGAGAGAGACACGCCCAATATTGGGCGTGACCGAGGAGAGAGACACGCTCAATGTTGGGCGTGTTTCACCAGGTGCTGCCACGTGGCACAAAAGCTAACAGTTTGACCGTAAAACTTTGGAAGTCCATAACTTTTGACTCGGGTATCCGAATTAGGTAATTTTTTTTTGAATCCACATAACTTTTCGAGATCTACATAATGACACCTCATTTGCATATTTTGTCTCTCACAAAAAAAATTGAATTTACAATAATGATACCATAAGAACGTTTAAAAAAAAATTAATGGACAGAAAACCACTGTTATGATTAGAAACATTCATAATAAAGATCTTTATGATTATGGTAAGTTATGATAAGGTTAATTATGTATGTTATTGAGATATATAATAAAATTTTGAATGAAGAATTTTATGAAATTTATAATTAATAAAAGTTAACATCTGTCGGTGACAGAATATCGAATAATTTATATTAAAAAGTTAAGTGAGTGCTTTTCGTTTTATTTTGATTTTCAAGTTTTTGTTCATGATTATAAAAATGTTTAGATTATTTTTAGTAATAATTATAAGGTAACAAATTCATGACATTTTTAATAATTATGGTATCATTGTTGTAAATTCAAATTTTTTTGTGAAAGACAAAATAGGTCAAATTAGGTGTCATTACGTAGATCTCGAAAAGTTATGTGGAATCAAAAAAAAATTTACCTAATTCGGATACCCGAGTCAAAAGTTATGGACTTCCAAAGTTTTACGGTCAAATTATTGACTTTTGTGACACGTGGCAGCACCTGGTGAAACACGTCCAACATTGGGCGTGTCTCTGTCCTCGGTCATGCCCAATATTGGGCGTGTCTCTCTCCTCGGTCACGCTCAACATTGGGCGTGTCTCTCTCCAACTTGGTCACGCCCCATGTAGGCGTGAGTCACGCTTAGGTCACGCCCAATATTGGGCGTGTCTCTCTCCAACTGGTCACGCCCTTATGGGGCGTGTTTGACTGTTATATTTTCGTAATTAATTTCAAAACGAATACTTATTCGTAATTTTTTATTAAAAAAGCAATAAATTAATTTTTTTGACCATAAAAAGTGCCTTGGTGATAAAGATAAGGATAATTTTCATTCTACATAATTTAAAGTCCCTCCTGCGCTAGTTGTTTATTTTTTGCTGATATTTGTGCTGTTAGTAGCTTTAGAAACGTTTTTATTGTGTAGTTGTTTCTTGGGCTGTTAAGCCCTCTCTTTCGCCTAAAAAAAAAGTAAATGATTGAAAATAATTTTAGGTTCGCTTTTTCTACGGTGAATGTAGATAACTTATTTACATTGAGCCCAAAACAACGTTGTTTTGAGGTGAAAATCAAGGTATTTTTATAATTATAATTTATTACAAGGTTATAATAGTCTTTTTCATTATAATTTTTTAATTTTTAACCCAAAACGACATCGGTTTGAGAGTAAATGTAGATAACTTATCTACATTCAATATAGAAACATTGAAGCCAATAATTTTATGAACAAATATTTATCCTTTTAAGAACATAACATTGTATATGTTTAAATGAAAATAAAGTGTTTCAGTATAATATTTAACTAATTATCTTTTTATTTATCATAATTTATTTTTTATTTACTTTTTTAATTGGTTAAATATTATAATAAAACACTGTGTTTAAAAGAATAAACATTTTTTCCTATTTTATTTTATTAGTAATAGTTTTCATTTTTTCAGATGATGATTTAATAATTATGTTGTTTTACATTTGCGTTATCCAATAAATGATTTTTGCATACTACTTTTTACACCTTTTATTATACTTATTTTTTTTTGAAAAATATATATTAAAAATATAATTTTATTTGATTATTATAAAAAAAAAGTAAGGTAAGAATATTATTATCAAAATGGTGTTCAAACTTCAAATGATACTAATGAATATGAAGTGTTATGATCTAGGAAGACGAAATTCCCTTAAATAGAAAACAGTTAAAAATTGAAAAAGGAGAGTGAACCCGAAACATAAAGAGAGTATAAAACAAGGGGAAAAGGTGTGTCATTTTAAATGACACACCTTACATCTTTTCACTCTCACAAGGAGATGAGACTCACATTTTTAAAACTTTTTCTCTCAACTTTTTCTTTCATAATTTATCTATTTCTTTCACTTAAAATGACATAACTTTATATCCTTTAAAATAATACCCACTTTTCCCATAAAACAAAGAAAGGAAAGAAGTTAAGGTCAAAAATGGAATGTAGAGAGGTTAAGAGTGAATTTTTTTTTTAATGTTAAAATTTCACGTGAACTAATTATATGAAATTTTGTGTCTATTTTTTTTTATATTTATTAAATAGTGAAGTCTAATTATTATTAATAAAAAAAAGATAGATATGTAAACTTTTAATATTAAAGCATCCAAATTGCGGAAAATTTATTTGATTAAGAAGAAGAAAGAACAACACTGATCACTCAATTGACGCATGAGAACTGAGCAGATGAGGATGAGAGCAAATGTTTGATCTTTTTTAATATCATTTTTGAAAAGGATTTAAAATCTTAATTCTGGATCTGTCCCAATTCTAGATTAGTCCATATGAAATTTATGAAAATTATCAGGAGAATAATCTAAAAAAAAAAAGCAAAAAAATGAAAGAGTGAGAGACTAACATAAAAATGTATCAAAAGAGAAAAGAAAAGAGATTAACATAAAAAGCAAAAAATGAAAGTGCTGACATGGATGAAAAAAAGGGGTGGGACAGAACAACACTATCTTTATAAGCAACGTCGGGGAATCCAACTGCACCCAAAGATCTCATAGGCCACAAGAACTTGTGGCTCACAAAATTTCCACTTTGCTGAAGTGGCATTCCAACGTTGTTAATAAACCAGTCCACACAACATAACCTTTCTTTCTTGTCCATTACTATTCATTATCCATTTTTCTTTCCAAACAATTATCAAATAAGCAAAGAAAAGAAACCAAAACAACAGCTGCTTAACAACTTCTATATATATTTTTCGTCAAAATTTTCAACCATTTTTTTCGAACAAAGAGAAAGAGCCGGAGCCAAAATAGTGAAGAGAGAGATATTGCTGAACCTGAGCGGTGTTAATATAACACAGGAATGCCTAAGGTTAATAACGACTCAGCCATAAAGCTGTTTGGTAGAACGATTTCTCTGTCACGTAACAGTGAGGTCTCTGCCAATGATTCTTCTTCTGAACCTGCTCCTCCGCTTCCCTTTGAAGATTGCTCTGATCATAGTCCTCCTTCATCTTCATCTTCTCCACGTGAAGTGAACTCTTCAAAAGAACATGAAGCAGTCAGGGATAAGGTATGTGCCATGATGGTACTACAAAAAAAAAAAATTATTTTTGTTGTTGCTAACTAGTGTGTTTTTCAAATCCAACAGCGACCCTTTTTTCAGAAACTCGCAATTGTTGTTGGGTTCTTTCAAATCTTTAATTTTTATTATTTAATTTTTCTTCTAGTTATGGTGTCAAATGAGGCTCATGTAATTTCCCATGGATGTTTTGAGAACTTCTAATATGAAAAATATACGAAGTGTTTTGCATGATCACATATGGTTGATGAAATTAATCAGTTTTTTCATTTCTAAACTTATTTAATCGTTTCTTTTAAGTGGTGCTCACAAGTCATTGAGGGGCACTGTAGGCAAAACTGGATCCAGTTCATTCAAGAATACAAGTTTAATGAATAATATTATATGGTTGGACTCGATTTGTTTTTGTCCATTCTATTTGTAAATCAATGATATTTTGCTTGAGTAATCGAAAACAAGTTTTCAAGTTCAGCTGATTCATAATTGGAAACTTTGAGTTGCAACTTCAACTTTGAGTTCATTTCTTATTGGATCTCTTGCAGCATCCCAGAAGTTCTGTAGCCATTGAGATGGTTTGAGGAGTTGTTATTGAATTTCTTGCTCTGCCAAACTCTAATTAAGTTGCTTTTCACGCCTTAGACTTCAATTGGATCTAACTTAATTTTGGTTTGACATCCTGTCTATATTCATTTGATCATTCTTTTGTCATATAAGACTTGTGCGACAGAGGAATTCTTTATAGAATATTTTGGTTTTATTTATGATCGAAGTATTTTATACTCTCAAATTTCTTACTTAGCCCTTTTTTCCCATTTAATAAAGGGTTGTGGACTTGTAGTCTTCTTCTTTTATCTTCCATTCGATGTTGTTTGATTAATAACAGTTATATTCAGAGCTTTTATTACTTTTTTACTTTTTGGATTATTCACCAATGACTATGTTCTAGTCAGTTTCTCCTGAAAGCTTTGTCTTCTTCTCTAACACTTCTAGATTTACGAGTCTGTATCCCTCTCTTCACTTCAAAAATTAAGGGGGATTTTCGTGTTGAAGTGTTCTATTGATCATCTGCTCTTCACTTTCACATCAACACCCTCTCATTCATCAAGCAAAGTTCATATATAAGTAATAAAACCTTACTAACTAGGAAAGATAAATCCTATATCTGGCCTCTGTTTCCTCCCCTGTTTTCATGGTTGTATTTCACTAATTCTCTACTTTGCGCTTTAAATTTCCATGACAATGCATATGTTTGATTCCTAATCACTAAATTAAGAAAAATTAAAAAATTGCCTCTAAAACATGAGATTGCAAAACTGAAATAGAATAAAATATCAAAAATAATAACCGTTTAATGTTTCTATTGTTTATTTGTGTCCTAACAAACAAATCAGTTGCTCTATATTGTCAAAATTTATAAACGTAGCAATTCCCAGTTCTTAAATGATATAAACCAATATAAATTTGTGGCTCATATTTTGGTCTTTGCATTGAAGCTTTAAATTCACTGTTTTGCAATTTCACATGTGTGGCTAAAGTGAACTAGTATTTCTCATCTAACTAATGTATATTAATTTTCAGGAACCATCAAGGAAAAAACTCACCTCAGTACAAGATGATGAGGCCTCACATCAAACCACAGAGGATTTAAAGTCTCCCACATCTTCAGACATTTTTGAGAACCCTAAGACTCCCTCAGCTGAAAGAGAGAGTTCTCTACCAAAATCCTCTAAAAATGGAGAACATAGCGACACAACAAGTGTGTCACAAGACAAAACTCCAAAGAAACCAGACAAGATACTGCCATGCCCACGATGCAACAGCATGGACACCAAATTTTGTTACTACAACAATTACAATGTCCACCAACCTCGTCACTTCTGCAAGAGCTGCCAGAGATACTGGACTGCTGGAGGAACCATGAGGAACATGCCTGTAGGTGCCGGTCGCCGCAAGAACAAAAACTCTTCTGTTGCCTCACATTATCGCCAAATCATGGTTCCTGAGGCCCTTCAAACAGCTAAATTCAACGCAGCCAATGTGTTGTCCTTTGGATCAGATTCTCCTCTATGTGATTCCATGGCTTCTTCTTTGAGCCTTGCTGAGAAAACACAAAATGGTGTCCTAAATGGGTTTCATGCACCTAAGAAGAATATGTTTGTTTCCTATGGTGGAGAAGATAGTAATGGGGATGATAACTCAGTTGGAGCTTCTGTTATAGCTTCAACTTCATCTGAGAAGAGAGACAATGCCGGCTCACATGAATCAGTTGATAAGAGTTATCAAGGTTTCCCTCCTCAGTTGCACTTCCCTGGTTCTTCTTCCCCTTGGCCTTATCCATGGAACCCTGCAATGCATCCATATGCATTTTGCCAACCAACATATCCTATGTCATTCTATCCAGCACCAGCATATTGGGGTTTATACTCTATCTCTCCCCAATCTTCTGTTAACCATTCTGATCCAAATTCATCTACTTTGGGGAAACACTCAAGGGATGGGGATATCCTCTTTCCACACAACTTACAGAAAGAAAAGCCTGCCACAGAAAGTAACAACTCACGGAATAATAGAGTGTTGATCCCCAAGACACTGAGAATTGATGACCCTAATGAAGCTGCAAAGAGTTCTATATGGTCAACACTAGGAGTCAAGAATGAGAAGGGAAATTCAACCAATGGAGGAGGAGGCCTTTTCCAGGCATTTTCATCCAAGGGTGGTGGTGACAAGAATCATATGGTTGAAACATCCTCAGTGTTGCAAGCCAACCCTGCAGCTTTATCAAGGTCTCTTATCTTCCATGAGAGGACCTAATTTGGGAATTACACTGAGCTATAGCTACTTCAGATTTTAAAATATTTTTGAAGTAGTTCATACCAGTACAACCTCATTCTCATTCTGCTGACATCTTTTTCACTTTTCTCCATGAGAAGTTGTATTATTGACCAACCTTTATGCAGGATTTCTAGAATCCCAGAGTTATAGTTTAGCTTCCCTTAGCTACCATCTTCAGCTTGTCAGAGTGAATAGGTCTTTTTTTTTTTTTTTTAATCAGATTTAGATGAATATCTTTGATGTACATACATATATATGTAAGACAGGATAAATAACTAGGAGAAAAGACAATGGAGAGGATATTCTTGGACTAAAATCCAATGGTTTAGAATAAACTTCTTATAAGACTTCATCAAAATCAGCTGTTGCTGCTGCTTCTCCATTTTTTTTTATTTTTTATTTTTAATAACTTTTTTTAGATTCCCTGCATTAATGTAGCAATGCTAGTTCCCAAGGATTATGAAATTTATTTCAGTTTTTTAGTGTTATGTCAGTCTCCATAATCGACTTTAAATGATGTTATTTACCTATAATTACAAACTCATTATGATTTTTATTACATAATTGTAATAATCCTTTACTAATATTTTTATATATTTATACTCTAATTGGGTATATCCATGTACCAACTTTTAAAGATAAAATAAAAAAATTCATGACTTTTGCACGAGAGGAATCAAAGCAAAAAAACTTCTATGGTGGTAGAGGACTAACAACTAACGATCACTTAATAAAGTTGATAATTACAAATAAAAAGTTAATGATTTAATTTTTTTTAAAGTGGACCTGTAAAGATGTATTTGTTTTTAACTTTTAATAAAATAAAATCATGATACATTTTAGATTAAAGATATATCTGTCAAATCTTGAATTTGTTTGTTCATATCTACATCTCTCAATGGCAGATTTTGTGTATTTGTTGTTCCTTTTAGGTGAGTTTTGGTTTTTCTTTTTTAAGGTGTTTCCCTTGTGGTTGTTTCTATTGTGATGGCCTTACTGGGCGAAGAGAGTTTTAGATCTAGTTTGGGAGGAGCATAATACAATTTTCAAGCTGCAACACTTTTTTCTTTATTGGTCTATGTTGTGAAAATACTTCGGATAAGGAGCTAAGTTGATTACTTTAAAGTATAAATTTTTTTCTCCGTTTAGATATGATATAACTTTTTTTATTTGCGAGTACCACTGTACTTCGTTCGTAATATTTTATTTTATTTTTAAAAAAATAAAGTACAACGAGAGTAGAGTTTATATTTTATTTAAATTTTAATTATTAACTGTTTTAGAACTAATTAATTAATTTGTAATTTACTTTCTAAAATGCATAACCTGACATATTATAGCAAAGCAAATATTAAAAAGTGAAGAAAAGAAATTTCATTCTTTCTTATAGCTTTTCATAGGTGCGGATAAACTCGAATAAATGTCCAAAAAGTCCAAACATATAGTCCATAGAATCCAAAAACAGGAAAAGCAACATAAAGCTATCTAACTTTATACGTTCCTTTTTTCTTCCTTTTTCAACCTTTTATGTGTGAGCCAGCACTGGCTAATTAAAAAAATGTTAAAAGCAACATTTATATCCTCAAATTATTTATAAGTATAGGCAGATGTCAAGTTCAGCTAATTCAACATGTCACTGAAATCTGAGTCAGGGAAGAGACAAACAGATATTTCATAGGTGCTGTTAAGAGCAGGTGGCCACAAGTTTTATTCACATAATGTTGCGGGACCCAGTTTGTTTATTGCCATAACTTCAATGGTGGTCCTTTTGGCCCTTTTTTTGTTCTTCTTTCCCACTTGTTCTTCTCTTTTATAAGCAAGGGCATGTTGCATTTCCCTTTGGTCCCTAATTATGTTATCATATCATGGTTTTTGGCTTCATTGAGTGGGAAATAAATAGGGAAAAGAGCTTGCCAAAATTTAAATGTTCATAAACCTAACAAAGTGCCTAACAAAGTACCAATTCAATTCTTCTAGAAAAAGACATTCTAGGTTTCTTCGTTACATTACCAACAAGACTTTGGTGTTAAGGATATGAATTGTTTCACTTGGTAATTATATATATGTAGAATGTTTTAAATAATAAAGAAGTGGCTATATTTTATAAAATAATTGATATATATTTTGGTTATATCGTAAATTTATCATTTGAAGACAACGATATGATATTGTAATTAAACATCATCTTTTGTAATGATCCTATACATCAAATGGATAATTTTATCTCAATTATATTTTAATATTATCTTGTTAACCCACTTGTAAAAGAAAAGTGCAATTAAATACTTAAAATACCCATAGCATAGAAAGGAACTTTGATATTTTCTTATTAAATCCTTATCAGTATCGTCTTTGAAAGAGGTTTAAAATCTTATCACCAGGAATTGGACTAGTCGCGAAACAATGAACTAATTGGAATATCTTCACAAAAAAAATATACAATAAGATAATCACAATAATGTACCTTTATATAATGAAAAAAGTCTTTATTCATAAAAAAAGGGATGAATTTTTAAGCAATCAATTTCTCCATTAACTATATATGGATTTTTAGTTTAAAATCACTGTCCTTTTTATTTTAATTTTTCTTTTATATTTAATGCTTTAAATTTCTTACTTCTTTCTCTTGTCAAAGTTACAAACAAAATTTCTTTAAATAATTTCTAAATTTTCTTAATATGTTTAACCATTTCTTAACTTATCTACTTATTTCTTATTTATTTGAATAATTAAATATTGAATTTTCATGAATAAGTGCTGCATATATTAGATAAATAAAGTGTCAAATATTTTCAAGTAATCAATCAATATATTAAAATTAGAGAACATTCTTTCAAAAGTGGCTTAATCTTTTAGTCTATTATCCTTTAAAAAAATAACATATATCGTTTTTAACTTCTACTCTTTGAGATTTTAAATTCAAATTATTCTTATCTTATTTATGATTTTAATATTTTTTAATATGTATTTTTTATTTTTTATCTGAAGTAATTATATGCTTTTAATATTTTTTATTTTAATTTATATTTTAAATTTTAAATTTATTTGAATTGAAAAATTATCATGCAATGTAATAATTAATTTGAGATGTCATATATATCATCATAAAACACCACGAATATTAGTGATTATAATAAGCAATCTTCTTGAAGGACTAGGTCTTCTCCTTCAACCCTTATTCCAATTATCAATGGACAAGATAAAAGCTCATAATATATGCAAATATTAATAGAGTGGAGAGAAAACCTAAACATATATAAAATAACCTGACGAGTCTTTACATAAAAAATATCATAAGTTAAGGTCGATCTAAACTAATTTTATTAAATCACTCTATTAAACAATTAGGTGTCATTACAAACACATCATTAGTTTAGTAAAATTTAAAGTATCTTCGAATAAATCAAAATATTAATCCGTTTTTTACAAAATTAAAAACTACAATTATGTTATTCAACATAATTTGTGTCAGTAATAGTTGCAGTTTATGTTATTCAACAATGTAAAAGGGAAAGGTATATAAATAATTTGTAAGAAGATAAAAAGAGATATAGAATATCAATTATTAAAATAAAAATTGAAAAAATTGTTACGGTATAGGTTATATATATATATATATATATATATATATATATATATATATACACCAAAATAAAATAAAATGATAACTGAAATTGAAGTTCTAGCTTCCTTTTTTTTTCTCTTTTAATTTATTAATTATCTGATTAATTTAATTTGAGTCGGAAAGATTACAAGAATAATAAAAATTTTCTTACCAAATTAAAAAATATATATATATGCTAAAATGATTTTTTTAATTTATTATTAAAATTAAAAAAGCGTAAAAAAAATTTGTTTACCAAAAAAAAAAAAAAAAAAGCGTAAAAATAATGCCGATGTTTTTATGTGTACTGATTGCCAGATTGTTATTCTTTAAGATGTGTAATAAATACAAACTAAGTTTCGGTACAGCCGTCGGAATTGAAATTGTACATTTAATACGAAGTAATTTCCGGTCCCTTCAGTTACGGGTAAGAACAAACACTCAGGAAATTAAGGTATTCAGCATTAATAAATAGTGGAAGTGCACCTTTAGTCCTTTATTTCCCACATAAAAGAGAAAAAGACAAGCAAAATGTCTAAGTGGGATGCAAAAGAATTATATTCCTTCTAATAAAAATACAGTATTATATTCCTTCGTTTATAGAGGTATCAAAGTTAAACATTTAGCATGAGTCAAAAGTTAATCAGTGCTTTTGAGTCTTAAATATGTATTTATGTTAAAAATTTGGCAAGGAAATTTTTACCGAATTTATCATCTTGTCCGACTTGAATTCAATTAGTAAGAAATAGGGAGATAAAAAAAAAAAAAAAAAATCAAATATCAACAAGCACGTGGGACTTCAAAAGGATTGGATGAGAAAATAATAAAAGAAAATAATATGTGCAAAAAACACACTAGACACCAACAAAGTCCAGTCCAGTTGGTAGATAGCTGGGTTCTTTAAGCATGCTGACAGGTGTTCGATCTCTGACCGTACGTATGAAAAAAAGCTTTGTTGGAAGAGGTTTAGTCACTTAATGTGATCTTCCGCCTCAAAAAGATTAATGATGCTTTGGGAATATATCTCCATTGTACCTAAGTGAATTTAGATTATTAATTTGAAGACTTTAATCATTGAATATAGCGTGCCAGCATATGTTTCGATAAATTAAGAAAGAAATGTCTGTACGTATTCTTTCTTTTCGCATAAATTGCATGATTTTTATAAATTTGAGTTCTGGAAAAGTTTTATTGTACTTGTAAACTTGGCTCGATTGAATTATATTATTTTATTTGTATCGTTTATGAGTATGTATCAATCACATCCTTAGTAAATCGTAATTCAGTTAAACATACAAAAAGTGATAAAAATATGAATTTTTTAGAAGTATTTCTAAATAAAAAATTTATTATTTTTTTTTATCAATTTTGATTAGTAAGAAACACTATATTATTTAAAAAAAAAAATTGGGTTGATACAAAAGGAGAAAATAAAAGGCACGATGAAGATGAACAAGGGAAACAAATTGGGATACTTCAACCGGAACTAGCGAGGCTTAGCTTGGACCGTAATCAAGCAGTTGGGCCTTAACAACGCGCGCTTATAAGGCATTCTTTCTTTAGAACAAAGGTCCAAAACCATATGGAATGTTCAATGTCGCAGTTTCTCACATTGAAGGACATGAATTTGCTTATTAGTTAACAATTCATGCTCTTTGTGTTTTGTTCTTTAATCTCAAGTGTTTCTGGAAAATTCATTAATAGTAACATAAATTATCTTATGTTCCTTATTTCTAATTTCTTATCAAATGAATTTTTTTAACAGATGAAAGATCGCAGTTTGGGTTAAGATGTTTGTCTCCATTTTAGAAATTAATGAGGCTGTTTTCATTGCAAAATTATCTCTATTTTAATTTCATTAATTAATGATTTGAGAGACGTTTGTCGTTTTACCTATCATCATCGCATTTATATATCGATTTCAACTTTAGCGCTGCTAAATGTTGACATAGAACTATTCTCTTATCAAGATTAGTAAAAATAAAATAAAATAAAAAAATACAAGTAAAAATAACTATAAAAGTGAGAGTGAAAATAAATATAAAGGAGAGGAAAATATAAATAAATTATTTTTTTTTGCATATTCGGTAAATAATGTATCAATTGTTTGGTATTACTGTAACACTAAAAATTGTTGCAAAGTTTTTTCCACTACTTTCTCCATAGAAAATTGAAAAGTCTATTAATAATATTTATTATTATGTCTATTTGGTGAGAAAATATTTAATATTTTAAATTCAAACTTTTTAAATTTGAATTTTGAACTTAATAGGAGGAAAAAGAGTATAAAGCAAATAAATGATTACACATATAAAATAGTTAATTTATATTAAAAAATTAAAGGTGCTAAAATTAAAACCTAGGTATAAAGGAAATAAATTTAGAATGTACTACTAATTAAATCTTACATTATATTATATTATAGGTATATTTAATAATATAAATATTATTTATGAACGTACAGATAAATTGGTTAAGATAAATGAAAAAAAAAAAACAAAAGGCAAAAAAAATGTTTATTTTTTTAAAAATTATAATTATATTTAATTTTTAAAAAATTATATATGACTTTAAAATATAAATTACATATAAATTATTACTTTTAACTTCCTTAATATTTTAATTAAGTATAAAAAAATACAGTATTGAACTTTTGATGATTTTTGAAAATTAAAAATATTTAACGATTATTTTAATTTTGTCCTAAACAATCGGAAAGAGATTTTTTTTATTTTTTTTTGTAGCCGATGCTATTATTATACTTACAATCAAAAGAATTAGTCATGATATTGAATTGTAGAGTAATATCAACCAATTCTTTGTGAAGTAAACCAAAGAATTGAATATAAAAACTTAAAACCAAATATTTGTCAACTCTTCATCTAACATTTGTCAATTCAACTATTTGCCAACTCAAATATTTAAAAACACTTATAAGTGTTTGTTAGAATATTAAACGTAATAATTCAAATATTTGTCAACTCTTCATCTAATATATATGTCACAAGTACACAGAGTTCGAAAAGTTGATTCAGAGGCAACTATAAAAAACATAAATAGATAGTAATCTAAAAGCAACTATAAGAACCTTTTTTTGGATAAATATAAATATCTATTATATGCTAATATAAAATGTTGAAAGTTAGAGGTGGCAAAATGGATTTCGCCCGAAGGATCGGCCCACTACGTCCACCAACACTTTTTTTTATTTACTGTCTAACAAATTTGTCTTTGTGTGGCTAAGATCATTGGATTTACTATTGTACATATTTCATAAACAAACATCTAAACAAAATGGGGGCTCAGCCCTCGCCAACACATTTTTCTCTCTTATATTTATTGTCTAACAAACCCGTCTTTGTGTGGCTAAGTGTTTGTTAGAACATTAAACGTAATAACTCAAATATTTGTCAACTCTTCATCTAATATATATATATATATATATATAGGGGAAGGTTATATTTACAAACTTTTTGTTTTACTATGTCTGACCGGTTATACTTCAATCAAGAGTGTATGACCAGTCAGACTTAGTGTAATTTGTAAAAAAAGTTTGTAAACGGGTCATTCCCCATATATACATATATATATATATATATATATATCGATTTAGTGGCAACTATAGAAAACATATAGAAAACATAGATAGATAGTAATGTAAACGCAAATATAAGAACATTTTTTTGTGAATAAATATGAAAACCTATTACATACTGATATAGAATGTTGACAGTTAGAGGTGGGAAAAAGGGCTCTGCCTATAGGGTCGGCCCACCTTGCCGGCCATCAAGTTGTTTTTATTTTCTGTCTATCAAACTCGTCTTTGAGTCTCTAAGATCATTGAATTTATTGGTGTAAATATTTCAAAAACAAACATCTAAAAAAATGGGGGCTCGACCCACCCTGCTTGCCATTGCTTTTTTTTTCCTTATATTTACTATCTAACAAACCCGTCTTTGTGTGGCTAAGTGTTTGTTAGAATATTAAACGTAATAACTCGAATATTTGTTTCATCTAATATATATGTCACAAATACATACACCTCAGAAATTGGGGAGAGTAGCGTGGCTAGTAAACAACCACACCACCCATGTGGGGGGCATGAATTTCTCACAAAGAATCTGCTGTTGAGAGAAGGATATTGAACAGATCCCCATCACGAATGCACGTAGAGTGTCAGTTGCAGAATTTGTGCCTCAGTTATTGCATTGCAGGCCCATGAGAAAACGATGTTCTCAACACAGTTCCATTCCCCATTTTTTCCCCATAATTTTATTTTATTTTTTATCATCATCCCTCAAATAGTTCATTCAGAAACCCTCTTTCTGTTGCGACAAAACAAAACAAACCCATGCTTGACAACCTTAACAATAAGGACAACCTTAAATTATGTTTGATCTCGTTCAATTATTTTTCGATATAAACTCTTTATGTTTGCACCTTCATATTCTTAACGAATTAGCCATACATTCCTAGTAACAAAGAATGTCTAGGACATATATATTAAATATCCACATGAACCTTTTTCAATCTTTTCATTTGGTGCCGGGTTGGCAAATTTAACTTAACCAAAGGAATTAACCATATAAAGAAGGGAAAACATGGTAACGGGCATAGAAAGGTTAAAGTAATCGAATAAAATAATCACTATCTTTAAATAGTTTGGAAAAGGGTCCCCCACGTGAGAGAAAGAAAGAAAATGGCAATAGAGACAGATGATATCATTATTAACACAAGTGACGCAATGTTACACAGTCACCAAACTCAAGCAACTATCCTTTCTATTTGCCTGGAATGGCTTCTCAGTTATGTTGGACCACACCTATATTGAGGGACTTCCGGGAAAGTTTGCAGCTTCTGGATCATCATCACATCATGTGGCTCCTACTCCAAGGAAGTCAAAAAATGGAGGTGGAACAGCATCTGGGGGGTCACTAATCACGATTTTTTCTCTGTTTTCTACGACTGATGATGACCATGATGGTTCCCTGGCCGAAACATTGGGTGTTGTTGATGCCGAGGAATTTGAGAAACTGTAAAAATTGTTATTGTTTGGATGTTGCATTGCCATCAGATGTTGTTGGGGATAATGAGGGTAGAAACCATATAGTGGATGATGATATTGATTTTTATCAACAATCCTGCTGAAAGACTCTCCCACCATGTCATTGCTTCTAGCACCTTCAAACAATAGCAGTGTGAAGCTATAGGAAAATGTGCTCATGTCATATGAGAGTGTACTGTGTATGTGTGTGTGAGAGAGAGTGAGAGAGAGAATATAAGGCAACCCAAAGATGACAAAGCAGGAAGGGTTGCATCAGTCACTGTTATAAACCAAAAGGTCGATGAAAACGAGATATTTAATTTGGTTGAACTGTAAGAAAATAAATAGCATGATAAAGCTGAGGAAGGAAACTTGGAACAAAAATAAAAAAAAGTGAGAAACCTACAGGGAAGCTGTTACAAGAACAAAAAGGACTTGGATGGAATGCAAGAGAGAAAGCACTCACCAGAGAAGTAATCAAATGGTGCCTGTTGAACATATAAGCCAATCTCGCTGCTTGACATTGCTTCTCTCCCATTTAAGCCATACTCAACTCCACCACCTGTTCCATGGATGGATGCATCATATTGAAAACTATTCATGTTTTTATTGAGTACTCCATTGGGTTTGGGGAGATTGAGACAATAGGGTGATGATAATTCTGTTTGTGTTGCGGTACCTCTGCAGACAAAGCTTGGATTTAGCTCCATTCTTCTGTAAACAGATTGGCTCAATCGCCTTCTCCTGTAACCACTGGATTGTTCTCTGTATTTTCTTGCCATTATAACATGCCAGTGATTCTTGACAGCATTATCTGTTCTTCCAGGGAAAAGCCTAGAAATCATTGCCCATTTGTTGCCGTAAATTCTATGTGCCTGCATTAACCGTTCTTCCTCTTCTTCACTGAATGCGCTCCTATTGATCCTTGGGTCCAACTGGTTGAACCATCTCAGCCTACAACTCTTCCCTTCAAATAAAAAAAATGTCCCATAAAATATACTCACCCCATTCATAAAATACACCAAACCAAAAAAAGAAAAAGAGGAATGTAAATATATTGTGTAAAGTTATCATTTTGCAAAATTGTTTGTTTACACACCTGATCTTCCTTCCAACTTCTCAGCTATCAAGTTCCAGTTCTGAGGACCATAAAGAGCCACAAGTTCCTTCAACTTTGAATCTTCTGCAGGCCTCCAATGCCCTCTACCACAGAGTTTGGACTGTTCACTATCCACCTCTTTGCCGCTTACAGGATTCTCATTAGGGTTCCCTATGTTGAAGTTTTCATTATAGTTTATTTTTTCACTGTTTTCCCCAACCCCATCATCTATATTGGGGTGTTCTTCAAAGTTTTTGGAAAGGCACTCCATCATAATTGGATAAGTCCAGCCAGTACTCCCATTTTCCATCACATGGCTCTTGCTTGCATAACTCTCTTGAGATGAAGAAACGGTTGAAACCATACCGTAGTTGGAGCTAAGAGAGAGAGACCCCTTGTCTGCATAGACCATTTCCATTGAAAAAGGGTAACAGCTGAGGCCATTTTGGGTTTCTTGTGAAGAGAATATAACACTTTCTGGCCATGACTTCATTTCCTACCTATCTGAGAAAGATAGGCTTAGCACTGTTACTATTACCATGTCATGCTCATAACAAAAGAATATTATGTTCTATGTTGGAGACCATATAACATGAGAAACAATGTTTGACAGACAGCGAAGGCAAAGAAAGAACAAAGGATTTTCGCAGCGGAGCAAAGAGACTTAACGGCAAAAGTGCTTTTTTTAAGCCTTAAACAGAAACAAGAAACCTATCACGGCTTTTTTCACTCACTCTCTGTCTAATGTCCGTTCATTATTACAAACAGTACAATTTTGGAAGGTGGAGCCATGAGATACTGAACATTGAAAATTTGAAATACTTAACCACCCAGATTGACCAATGACATGTGATATAATCTTACAATAATAATATTTCATTCATGAGAAATTTATATGATGTCTTTTGAATTTCCAAAAATATTAATATAAAATTGAATCATTTTAGAGAGTATTATATTTCCTTTGACATAGTTGAAATAGTATTATATTTTTTTGCAATTTAGAGAGTTGCTGTCATTATACAAAATTATTAACGGGGATTATTTCTCTCCTGTAATATACGAGAGAAGTTATCTCATGTTAAGAGATAAATAAAATAGATCCTATCAATTTTTAGAAAAGAAAAAGAGAGGATATTTTTCGAAATAAGAGTAATACAAAAGATCAATCTCATGCAACATAAGAGTATGATTTTCCATTATTAATATAAGAGTAAAGTCTCTTTTGGTTCATAACAAAAAATAAGGCCCTCACTTTAGCTTCTTATAAAAAAATTAGTCACATAGTTATTATAAAATTTAAAGTAAACTCATTTTACTCTTTTTGATAAACTAATGCTAATTTTTTTTAAATTTGTGAATGATTTTAATTAAATAAATTTATTTCAAATGTCTTATAGATTTCGATATTAATTTATTTTTATAAGAGATTAAAGTGAAGATTATATTTTTTTATTAGGTAATTAATATAATTCATTCCCTGCTAATAAGTCACACGTGTGCGAGTAAGAGACACTGAGAAACTCTCTCTCCATTGATGGGGTTTCAGAGTCTTAATCTGTCTCTCTCTAAATTTACAAGATAGACTCTGAAACGTGGTGGATGGTTACTTGTGGTTGTGCGGCAGCAGAGATATCTTTCTTTTCATAGCAGAAGAAAATAAGGACTTTTGCTTTGCTATTGTTACACAACAACACAGGCCCTGCCCATGTTGATGTACACCCTATTATATAGGTAGCTATTCATTCAACCATTTTCTCTCTTTAGCCTTTCTTGTATGAGTCTATCTACCCCACCCCTATCACCATCACCAAGTGCATCAGTCCCTGCTTCTACTGGTATTGTTATCATATTCTGTATATAATGTAAGGGCTTTATACTGGAACAGTGGCCAAAGTATCATTGATGAAAAAAAAAAAAATTAAAATATCATGTTGATAGTAAATTTTGTCAAAAATGTCACGTGACATATTTCGCTACACTATAGTGAAATATGTGTGCAAATAATTCGTTATACGGTGTAGCGAAATATGACGCGTCTTAACCAAAAATGTCACGTGTCAAACAGGGTGTCTGACATGTTGTAACGAAATTCTGCCTGTATGACACGTGACATTTTTGGTTCTGTGCATTCTGACGCGACATATTTCGCTTCACCATGTAGCGAATTATTTGCACACATATTTCGCTACAGAGTGTAGCGAAATATGCCACGTGACATTTTGACAAAATTTACTGTTAACGTGACATTTTAGTGTTTTTTTTTTGCCAACAGTTGCACTTTGGCCACTGTCCCCTTTATATTTCTCCTTTTGCCGAAGACTTTCATTTTCGCACGTAGAACAAATGGTGGGGTTTATTATTATTATTCTTTTTTTAAAAAGTACGGTAAGGAAAATATGAATTTATAAATTATAAAAAAATATATGAATTTTTAACTAACATTCAAAATTATAAGAGTCAATAAAAAAATGCAATGATATTAACAAAAAAATAAAATTTAATATAATTTTTTCAATCAATAATTTGATGTAGCATGATATCCTACTAAATAATAGCTATTCACATATCTAAAGTTATGTGTCCTCTACGTATTATCGTCTTTTCGTTCGTGCTCTTAGGTTTGACAAATTAATTAAAAATTATCTTCTTCATTAATTGGTGACACTAAAGATGAAGATGCATATATTGATTCAATTGGACATTCATTTGAATGATACTCTATGCAAAGAAAATTGTATAGTGCTACACATGTTTATACAAGCTCTGCTTGTGTTTTAATTGGAAACAGATATTCTGACTTAAAAATTGCGAACCGCAATTTAAAAATGTCAAATATCCTCTCAATTACATTTCTCAGTGATGCATTATTGGCATTTTGAGAGTCATTACCATGACCTATAAAATCTTACAAATCATATCGCACACCTCGAAATAATGGAGATAAAAATTTGCGTCGATTGGAAAATTTACAATCAACTAGGAAACATTTACCTAATCATATATGAAATTAGTATGAAAACTAAAAAAGATATTTATTATTTAAAAATAAATACGTATCTTGGCGCACTTCAAATCTATTCCTCCCTGTTAAAGTATAACTTAGTAGCTTGGAATTTTGAGATGAACTCTCCCATCCACTAAGAACATACATGAATTCCAAATCAAAGTTACAAGCTACTAATACATTTTATGAAATCTTTCCATGACGATTATGATAACTGCTTACATCTCGTCTAAGAGTGTTAAAAGAGTCAGGGGCCTTTGACCCGGCTCGTGTAGGCCTGGCTTGATATGTTTATTTTGTTTGTTAGATCCAAACTTAGACTTGTAAAAAAGCTTATTTAATAAAAATGTCTTAGACTCCAATTCAAAAGTCTGACCTTAAAGTCCGTTAGGCTGGCCTACTAACTCTCTTATTTTTATTTTTCTTTTATACTAACCTAATTTTCACTCCCATTGTCGCGCCCAGCCCACTCAAACCATCAAGCAACCTGTAAGAACCCGCACCGTTAATTAAGGAAGTTAATTAATTAATTATGCGAAATTAAGAAATAATTCCATAATTGACCCTAATAATTATTATGAGGCTCTAATAATTATAGTAAGTGATTAAGAATGCTAAAAGTCACTTTTCGGAAGAAAAATGCAGATACCGATTCTGCTAGTCGGTATAAATGCGTTCCGAAAAAGTATCCCAGAAAATTATTATAAGTGCATGATAATTACTGGAATAATATGTAGGACTTGTAAAACGAGTTTCAAGTCAAAATAATAAGAACTGGTGCCGGAAACTGGTACTAGCTATGAAAAGTGCGTACCGGAAAGATGCTCCGAAAATTATAAAAAAATATTATAATTCTTGTAAAATTGAGTAGGTTAAGAATCCAAAGTTTGGGATTAAAATGTTAAGCGTAGCAATTAAAGTTAATATTGTGTGTTTATTGCTTAAGTGGCTTTATATAGAGGGTTGCACACAACCCTATGCTGATCCTCTGGCCTTGTATGCGTGAGTTGGCTACTGCCACCTTCCCCTCTCTTGGTCATTTTCGTTTTTACTTAGAAACCTCCAAAGATATCACCTTTCTTCATGATTTCTTCATCTAAACACCTTGGTTGAGTGTGGTTGGGTCTTGGGGTGAATGTTTAGCCTTCTTTTCTGAGTTGGGTGAGCTGCCTTGTGAGGTTAAGGTGCTGAGTCTTCTGAGTTGTGAGGTTGGGGTCTTTGTCTTGTGTGCGGAGGCTCCAAGAAGCTTCCTTTGTGAGGAAAGGGCCAAGCTTTGGTAGCATTTTCGTGTACCCTTCAAGTCAGACTTTGAGAGGCAGTGTGGTGAGCTCCAAGAGCCTGTGCTTTTATGTTTTGAGCTTTGGTAAGTTGTACCAACCTTGGTCTTGAGTTTTGTTGCTTAAAGATGGTGTCTTGGTATGTTTAATGAGTTAAACATGTAACCAACTGTCATATGAACCTCAATGAACCTTAAGATGCATGTTTAAGCTTCTAGAAGTGTTAAAAATGGAACCTTGGAAGAATATCTTCGCGAAATGCAGAAACTGCATTCTGTCGCGAAATATCCGGATATTTGCCCGTGGAATATCCGGATATTGATATCCGGATATTTCCAGAGTGATATCTGGATATTGGATATCCGGATATTGCATGTGAGATATCCGGACATGTCCCCGAAGAATATCCGGATATTTTGGGTTTTCGAAGAACAGTAGTTGTACTGTTCATACAGTAGGCTATTGGGAGTTTGTGGACCCTAGTTTGAGGAAGTTGAACTTCTGTAATTAATTAATGTAAGTCAGAATCATGTGATTAAGGGCTTATGACTTGGTGAGAAGCCTTAAGACGTAAAACGTAATGAAAATGCGTTGTCTTTATGTTGTATACTTGTAGAGTATGATTGTTGATGTATTGTTGGTCCATAACAGATTGTGAATCTGCTGTGTTTGGACTTTGAGCTGTGGACTCTTGGCTTTGGGTGTTAGCTTGCAAGGTAAGCTTTCATGTCCTCGATTTAGCCATGTTGTGGTTCCACCATGTCCCATGGGGGTATGGTTATATGCATGTTGTGTTACATGCTTTGGATATTTGAAATGTTGTTGAGCTTTATATGTAATGGCTTTTAATATGCATGTGTTGTTCCTTCTTGACGGTAAGCCTGAGTATGTGGCGTCATACAAGACGGCGATCCGGGGAGGATGCAAGTAGCGTCTTGCACTATGTGTGGGTATTAGACGTATATAAATCCTGCATTTCTCTGGCCAGTAGAATAGTATTGACACACATGACATGATTATCTGCTGCATTGCACTGATTTAGAACTGATGATTATAAACTGCTCTTGAACTTATATTGCACAAGTAAGTGAGCTTGGGGTGGAAGATCCTTGAGGACCCCTTGTCTTACTGAGATTTCTTGTTTAGAGATCTCACCCCATGTTTGGGGGATGCTTATTTCAGGTTCAGGTAGTATGGTGACCGATGCCT